CCACCTCTTTACAAAACTGGATGAACATGGACTGTTTCCTCTGAATTCCATCTGATTTCTTTCTCAAGATCTAGTAGAAAGTTTAAATACAATTATGCTACCACTGATTCTTCATGAAACTTGAGTTCTTTGGCATCTGACTAGTGGGAGGAGCAAAGCAGTTTTGATACCCTGGGCAGCCACAGGGTGTGCTGGTAGTAGTGTTTTTTGTTTGTTTGTTTGTTTGTTTGTTTGTTTTGTTTTAACAGAGGGTTTCCAAAATTCTTCCCTTTCTACTGAAAGTACTAGTTGCCACCATGGACATTTTTGTGTAAAGATGCTGCTATAGAATTCTGTCAGCAAGGATTTCATGAAGTGTGGGTTTTTTTTTTTTGTTTTTTGTTTGTTTTTGTTTTTGGTTTTGTGTGTGTGTGTGTGTGTGTGTGTGTGTGTGTGTGTGTGTGTGTTACAGTAAACAGAGAAAACCCAGGTTATTGATTTTATAACAGAGGTCAGTCATCCACATACTAATAGTGCCTACTGTGTTGGGGGTATTAGATAGAGGGACAAAGCTAGACCTCTATGTTCTCGGGGAGGCACCTAACAAGGTATCAGGATGCACTGTGGTTACGGCATTAGAAGTGGCATGGGAGCGGGGAGGGTAGAGTAAGTAGCTTATTCTTTGGGACTGCCTCACAGCCTCTGTGAAAGATCAGGGGAAATTACAAGACAGTACATTCTCTGCCTGAGGGAGTCTGGATAAGCCATGAAAATGGCAAGGAGCAGAATCTGGAAGGACATGCCAAAGTTTGCCTGCAGCAGTGTCCAGAAAGGTGTTCCAGAAAATGGGAACACCATGTGCACAGGCTGGAGCAGCAGGCAGGCGAGGCAGGTGCAGGGCTTGCAGTGGGAAGCCATGCACGAGAACCATGGATGGTAAAGGGGAGTACCTGGGCCCGCGGCTGAGTAAGGAAGGCTGAGCCAAGGGCACAGGGACTTGGACACCTTGAGCCTACTTTTATTGAGCATTTCAGAGCGATTTCACTTTGAAGAAAACCGAGGTCCAGAATTGTCCTGGATCATCAGGAAGTGCTGGGCCCAGGCTCTGACTTGAGGTCTCTGTGTCAAACCTTCCTTATTTTCTCACACCTGGTGCCATGCATTGCTTCAGCTGCTTGATGGACTGAAGACCTTGAGCCCCACCCAGCTCTTCATTTTATACACAGAATTTTAGCCTCGTACTTATTGATAAAATAGATCAGGCTTAGTATGTGCAATAGGTATAAATTTATATATAAATGTATAAAAGAAGATCAATTAATAGAAAGTGTATCTTCTTAAAAAATAAGCTCTTCTTTTGAAAGGATTTTAGACTTACAGAAAAATCGCAAAGACAGAGAGGCTTCATTGCCAGCATCTTACATTGCCATGCTGTTGATCAGAGCTAAGAGACTGCCTTTGGGACACTACTGTTAACTGTACTTCATCCTTGACTTGGATTTCACCTATTTTTCTATCAGTGTTTTCTGTTTCAGGGTTCGGTCTAGGCCCACAGTACAATGACTTTTTTATTTATTTATTTATTTATTTATTTATTTATTTATTTATTTATTTATGCATTCATTCATTCATTCATTTTTACGAACACTAAAGCATGATGGTACTGAGTTATGTTACATTATCAGCTACTCAGTCTTGTGACTTAAAGTATGATATTTCCTTGAAAAATATTGTCTAATTAAAGAGAGAGATTGAGCTCTGGACTAGTCATTGCAGTAAGCATGCTGGTTAAGCAGCCACTTTCCATAGACCATCTGGTGTCATCATCTGATCATGGAACTCAGAAAAGAAAGCAAGAATGCATACCCAGAAAACATAACTGAACTTCGTTCGCTCAGCCCCATGATAATGCACCACAGACTGAGTGACTTCAACAATAGACCTTTAGTTTTTCACAGTTTTAGAAGCTTGAAGTCACAGTTTCAAGTGCTAGTCTGTGTGATTCTTGGTAAAAACCTCTCCTCGCTGGTACATGGCTGTGTCCTCACATGACCTTACCTCTGCACCTGCTGGAGAGATAGACTATATATGCTTTGTCCTCTCTACCTCTAACATCTCAGTTTTCTATAACTAAGTCCCACTTTTATGATTTCATTTAACCTTAGTAACCACCCAAAGACCCCATCTCCAAATACTGTCAAACTGGAGACTACAGCTTTAATATATAAATAGATAGGTACAATTCAGTTCATAGCATAGTTCAAATTATGTGAAATCTTTATATTCATTCACAAAACAGTATGACACAGAAACTCGATAGTGTGATGATGTAGGTGAAGTTGTAGCATTTGTTTTTTAAATATAATTTATTTATTTTTATTTCATGCACATTGCATGTATGTCTATGTGAGGGTATCAGATCACCTGAAACGGGAGTTACAGGCAGTTATGAGCTTGCCATATGGGTGCTGGGAACTGAACCCAGGTCCTCTGGAAGAGCAGCCAGTGTTCTTAACTGCTGAGCCATCTCTCCAGGCCACAGTTGCAGCATTTTATAAAATACTTGACATACACAAGAAAATGTCATATATTTAGAAAACATTTTTGAAATAACTTATTTATTTTTGTTTTATATACATTGGTGTTTTGCCTGCAAGTATGTATGCAGGAACCAGATTCCCTGGAACTAGACTAACAGACAGCTATGAGTTGTCATGTGGATGCTGAGAATTGAACCTGGGTCGTCTCAAAGAGCAACCAGTCCTCTTAACCACTGAGCTATCTATCTCTCCAGCCCCTTTGAACACATTTTAACTTGACTACTAATAAAGCTGGTGGGGGCACTGAGGATATAGCTTGCCTAACATGCACAAAGCCCTGGGTTAAATCCCCAGCACAGCAAGCATAAACCAGGTATGGCCGGCCATTCATGCACACCTGTAATCCCAATACTCAGAAGGTGGAGCCAGGAGAATCAGAAGTTCAAAGCCATCCTTAGCAAAGCCATCCTTTGAGACAAGCCTGGGCAACACAGGACTTGTCTCAAAGCAAATAAAACAAAAAACAAGATAGCAAATAGTGTGCCATTTGGGCTGATGGTATAAAAAACAGACAACAAGAAGAGAAACTTCAGTAACACTTTCATATAGGAGCTGTTACCACAAGTTTTCAAGTAGTCATTGGATTTTGCCTAGGTTTAAAACCTCTAGAATACTGCTGTAGAGTATATTAACAACTATTAATTTTTTGTTACCGATATAGGCCATGGGTTCTTGAATTTCCTCTTCCATACTAAGGACATGTTCTCTATGGAAATAGTACAGTACAGAAAGTTCACATAGGGAAAGAAACTGCTGAGCTTTGTTTTGATTTTACTAATAAAGAAATTTGCTAAATTTATGTAAATATAGTGTAACAGCTCTCCCTTTCCAGTGAATTAGCACAGAATTCAACAGTGTATGTTAAGTTAGTACACAATAAATGTGGGAAATAAATGGCTTATAATGCAATTTGAGTTTGGGAGAGTGAGTGATAATATTATAATCAAGAAAAAATATGGGAGAAGGAATCTATCTGAAGGCAGGAGGAAGAAAAGGCCAAATATCTTGGTGGGGGAAGCAGGAAGAGATACTAATTTTGTTTCTGGAAACAATACTATGGAAAATACAAATAATTTCAGTGACAGCTGTCATCATTTCAAAGTATATTAAAGACAGATTATTCTGTTACAGTATGATCAGTTGTAGGGTTTTGTTGTTGCTATTGTTTGTTTTTGATTGTTTTTTAACCCTGGCTGGCCTGGAACTCTCTATGTAGACCAGGCTAGCCCCAAACTCACAGAGATCCTCCTGCCTTTTCTTCTGCCTCCTAAGTATTGGTATTAAAGGTGTATGCTACCATAACCAGCAAGATCCATTTATTGTGAGATTAAAAGATAGTAAGTAAGAGAAATCATCAGGCTTAAAAACCTACAAAATGGGGCTGGTAAGTTGACTCTGGAAAACGTGTTTGCTGCTTAGCCTGATGATCTGAGTTCAGTCCCTAGTACCTACATGGTAGAGAGAATTAATTCCCCCAGATTGTCCCCTGACCTTCACATATGCACCATAGTATGTACCCCACACACATGCAAAACTAAATAAATAGTGCATTTTTTGGAAACATTGCAAAATGGGTGATTGGTTGGCCAGTGTTCATCTATGAACCTGAATTTATGAACTTCAGTTATCATAGTTATACTTTATTATTCTGTTTATACTCCAATATAATTTTGTAATTTATGATATGCTCAATTACTAAATTAAATAACTGATGATTTTACTTTGATAAGACTCTGAGGAGTTTATATTACCTTTGAGTTCTTAAGTACATTGTTCAATCAGAATAGTAATACCCCAAAACCTCCCCTAAACAATTTTAGTATTTATTTTTATCTTATGTATATGAATATATGTATGCCATGTGCATGCTTGGTGCCCATAGGGGCCAGAAGAGAGCATCAGATCTCCTAGAACTGAAGTGAGTCACTATGTGGATGCTGGGAACCAGACCTAGTTCCTCTACAAGAGCAGCAAGTTCCCATAGCTGCTGAGCCATCTCTCCAGCTCCCTCCTCCCATAGACTCCAAATCACCTCCAGATAACTCATAAACAATATTATATTCTATTACTTAGGGAATAATGACAGGAAAAGAGTGTATATATATATTCCCTACAGATGCAATTCTAAAAATGAAGAAACCTTTCCAGCCTTGGCAGAACCTAGAAATTTAGAGGTTGGACTGTAACCACAATCTTGATACCTACTCTTCCTGCTTCCCAGTTCACATTCCCTCGACACGAGAACCTTTGGCAGAGCCTGAGATAGTGTGCTCTTTCTGCAGAGGCTTCTAGAAGTGAAGCTCTGTCACCTTCAGCTTACTCTGGAAGCTCAAGCTGATCACCAAAACTCTACCTCTGGGCTGCCTAAGACAGACTCCTGCAGGTTGGACAAGGATGCTCAGAAACTCTCCTCTGTTTCAGGTGGTCCCTATGCTTCCTAGACTTCTGTGTGAGGAACTGTGCAGCCTCAACCCCATGACTGACAAGCTGACCTTCTCTGTGATCTGGAAGCTGACCCCTGAAGGCAAGGTAACAAACTGTACTTTGTCATTCACTCTCCACTTACTACTGTCCCGCCCTGTGTTAGCACCCATTGCGTGCCTGCACTAGCCTGGAGTCTTTGGTGGACAGATGCAGAAGGACTAGGGCAGGTAGCTGTTGTAGGAAGAGGTCTAAGGGCTCTAGCCTGACTGACTCTAGGCAAGACTGACCCTGCTTACTGCCAGTACTCACCAGCCAGTGGAGAGCACCAGTTGTGGGGGTGGGAGCTTAGGGTAGGAGATGGTTCGGTGAGGGTGGATGCGCATCTGCAGCACAGGATGGGAAGCCAGGCTTAAATGAACTGTGGAAGTCTGTGTTCCTCTAATGTGTCCTGAGGAAGATGGCTGGAATAGGAAGACTAGTGAAGATTAGGAGAGGAACACTTCAGTCCTAGCATGAGGTAAGGAAAACACTGATAATAGAGGGTGTCAGCAAGCACTCCCTATACACAAGGAGGAAAGAAGATGGGCAAAGATGACACTTGAAAACCAGTTCCCTCTCCATAGTGAGCAGCTGTAAACATCACAGCAGGGTCATGTTTGAGGACATGGGGCTTACTCAGTGCAGACTTCTGCAAAGCTGGTTACAGACACCATGAAAGAACATGGGAAATGTATATGCTGTAATAATAAATGAAAGTGGAAAAAAAGATGCTTAATTATAAAGTGGTTCCAAATAAAGATGGAAAATTAAATAACCACATTGATTTTTATTCCATCCCAAAACCTCACTAAAATAACAGTAAAGAGATTTAAAAAAAAAAAAAAAAGAAAGAAAGAAAAAAGGAAAAGAAAAAAGACAAACCCACAAGGACAAAGAGAGTGGGAGAGGAGACAACAGCAACAAAACCCTGGAGCAGGAGCAGATGGATAAGTGGTAACTGACTGAGCAGTCCTGAGAAAGCCTAATCCTCAGCCAGGAACCGAGGAAGCCAAGAAACAAAAACTCAGAGGTTGACAGCACCAGATAACTCTGGAAGTGGGGGAGGGGTGGGGGAAGTGAGGCCGACTTCAATATTGGTTCATTGAAAAGATTGCCCCTCCTGGTCTTAGCAAAAGACCTAGAGATTTATTTTTCTATAGATAATGCAATGAAGGTGTATCTGAAACAGGGATACCACTCTGGATAGTACAGTTCCTCAGGGGCATTGGAGTAAGTCTTGGCATCCAAATGCAAAGAACTCAACTCCAGAATTCTAGGGGCCAGGCCTATATTCTGTGAGTCAGGAGGTGGGAACACCTTTCTGTGAGGAATCTGAGTAATGAAGAATAAACACTCAGCATCCTTAAGGACCTTCCAGCCAGCCACCTGGCCCTGTCTGGTACAGTACAGTAAAGCTTAGATGCATTTCAGATTTCTCTCTCTCCCTCTCCCTCTCTCCCCTAGATAGGGTCTCACTATGTAACCATGGCTAGCCTGAAACTTGCTATGTAGACCATGCTGGCTTGGAACTCACAAGATCACAGAGACCTTCCTGTCTCAGTCTTACACCTGCCCCTTGTCACCATGTCCAACTAAGGTGTTTCACCTTCATGCATGAAGAGACAACCAAGTGGAAAGTGTCTTTGCTGAAATGAATACAGCAAAACACACTTACAAGGAGAAGAAGCTGTCCTTGAATTTTAAACAGAAGCTACCTATGCTACATTAGCTACCTTAAAAGGGCTGGGGTTTTTTGGTTTTTTGGTTGTTTTTTTTTGGGGGGGGGGGGCGGGACAGGACTTTTAGAAATTAAAAGCAGGATAGAAGAAATAATTCTGGTTTGAAATGAAGTTGACTATTCCAAGCAAAGAAAAGAAAATTAGAGGACCAATCTGAGACACCCAGAATCTGGTTTGTGACGGTTCCAGAAACCAAAGCAGAGAAAATGAGAAGAAATGCTGAAGAAAACCATTCATTCCTAGAGGACTTTCCAGGTGCAAAAAGCTCATCACAACCCCAATGGTGGAGGCTTGTCATCCCTAACATATAAATCATCATAGAGCTTCAGGATCTAGGAGACAAGAAAAAGACCCAGAAGGCTTCTAAAAACGGCCAAGAGAAAGCCATACACAATAGATCAGAAGGCAGAGCAAGTTCAGACTCTTTCACTACAACCTTAGAAGCTTTGTGATACTTCAGGGAAAACTTCTCCCTGTCTAGAAGGCTAGGATCCCTGTAAAATATACACTCTAAGCTATCAGTAAACTGAAAGTCCAAACGCATATCTTCAGGGGCTGGAGAGATGGCTCAGTGGTTAAGAGCACTGACTGATCTTCCAGAGGACTGGGGTTCAATTCCCAGCCCACTTGGCAGCTCACAACTGTCTGTAACTCCAGATCCTGGGGACCCTACAACCCTTACACAGACATACACACAGGCAAAACACCGGTGCACATAATAATCGATGGATGGGTGGGTGGGTGGATGGATGGATGGATGGATGGATGGATGGATGGATGGATGGATGGATGGATGGAT